GTGTAGAAAATAATTTTTGTTACACAGTTTGTGCATAAAACGCTTATTAAAATTGTTTTTAATAATAGAAAAACATGTTTTAAATTTCTTCACTTAATTGTCGCGATCAAAATGATTAAATAATGATTATATATAAATACTCATATAAATTATATAGCAAAAAATACTATATAAAAACCAATGAAAGCATCATAGTCGACCAAACCCATCATTACATACCCTATAACAGTTAGCTAAATTCAGTTTTTCATATATCGATTTATCAAAATAAGCCGTTATAGGGGAAAAGGTGACGCGACTTGAACCATTTTCAATGACATTCGTTCTTAAGGTATATCTGATTTCATCAGAATATCTCAGAAATTTGCGACCTGCAAATTAAACATCAAAATACATGGGCGAACATCACACACGGACCAACGCGCAAGCGGAGAAATATGCTCAGATTGAATGAGAAAGTATTTCTAAATCGATTGATATAATAAAAAGTTGGTCTATCTCGCGTCCACATCCGCTTAAGCCTCACATACCATCACATCGCAAGTATTGTAGGGTATAGAAAATATTATAAGCGAGCAAAAATCTTACCTTCTTTTTTATAATACAGAACGGATTTGTAGATCGATCAGCAGTCTTTATGTTGTCCTTTGCTAACACCTCAAATTAATATCGGATATTAATAATAAGTTGTAAATTAAAGCGCATAAGGCAGCAAGTACCTAAAGCAGTAAAATTACATTTAAACCCAAGCTACTGAATTCACTCAGAAAGTTTAACTCGAATTTTCAATTTTTGTCAATGGACGGACGGACGGACGAACGGACGGACTCAAAAAAGTGAACATACCCATCATCCTTTCAGACTTTTTCACTAATCAGGTATATACATACTTTGTGAAGCTTTCGATGCAATAAGTAACGAACCCTTCACTCGTATCTTATATTATTATAATAACAAGTCATCAATAAGGTGGAATAAGTAACATGTCCGCAACGCAATAATATTTGTCTTTGAATCCTTGAGATTTTTTTTTATGAACGCACTAAGGCCATTTTTAAATCTGCGTTGGAGGCTTCAAACAGAAATTTCAATTCAAGTAGCCATGGACGAATGGACAGATCAGCAAATATGATCAAATCCTTTCGGAACCCTGAACTGATCAGTAATATAGCTAGTCATCTATATTCCGGTTGTGGCTAAAACGAACCTAAGGTAACCTTCTCTAGATGAACAAGAATATGATCCCAGTTATATTACATATTAGACAGAGGCTTCGTTCTTTTCGGGACCAAAGGAACGCATAAGTTGTTATAATTTTAATCCCCAATTTCAAAGTGATTTAATGGAATCTTTCCCTCATTTATATCCTTTCGGTAGTCGTGTCCAAAATATGTATAAATTTAAGTAGTTTGTAAACTTATACCATAATCCACGTAAGAGTCTAACTAAAGCGTAAGATTGAAATAATTCTTTCAAATGTTATTTGAAAGCTTTCGCTTCTACGTATTGCTGACGATTCAATAACTAATCCAGCCGACGTATATGATACAGCAAAGACAACGAACTTATTTCGCGGTCTCCGCTTACATATAAAGTAAACGAAAGGTAGCTCTTCTCCTTTCTCAGTTTAATCATGCAAAGCACTAACAATTGAGTATATTAACTAAGGGAGGGTTAAGTCGACTCAATTAAAGTTTTTCCATCGGTATTTTTTTTTGTTCTTTTTAAAACTTCCTTCAAAGGTTGCGTTAAAAAAAAATACTGATGGTCCAGCTCATGTACAAAAAACTTATTATGTTTGTAGACAAGGCTGTGTCATTTTATACTAATTCTAGAAGATATGACAGGAGCTAAGGTTCCCGAGTGTTTCGTCAAAACGAATGTCCGGACATTTCATTCTCAATAACGTCAGCTTTATATGTTTGTATTCTGGCTAGTGCTTCATATCACTGCAAACTGTTATGTGCTTTTGCCTTGTCACCTTGTATAAGTGCTTCGAATCGCAAGATCTTACCTCTTGCGATCATCTGGATGCTTCATTTTCATCTCACCATACATATCAACTTGATCGTTTTGGAAATTTATGAAAGTCTTCAGTCAATACATTCGTCCGATTCGTCCGATTATAATATGCAGTTGATACTGTTAGCTTAGGATAAGGTAATGCTGTTTGTAAATCAAAAGCAAATAATTTCCCGACTTATTGCCGATTTGCTTGAAGCAGATCGATAATTTATACGGACCAACGCACACACGGAATAGCAAATCTACTGTAGACCCATTATTCCGTGAAGAATTCAAAATAAAATAACCGATAAACCAACTTATTGCTGTTAAAGCAGCATACGTTTTATGAAATCTTCCATGACTGTATTCCGTTGTCAGAGTCGAAATGACAAATGTAATAAGTTCCAATTTTTGCGGGATTAATGAACATAAAACAATGTACACATCAATGAAAAAGCAAAATTACTAATTACAGATGAAGTTTGTAAATCGATTAGATTGACTTGCGAGATTAACATAAAAAGAGTGATAAGAAAAAAGGACTCGAAATAGATCCACGATTGATTACACCGATCGACTCAGAATCACTTTCTGATTTGATTTAAGCGTGTCTGTCCGTGTGTCCGTATCGTTTTCTTGTATTCAATCTATAGGTCACAAATTTTTAATATATTTTGATGAAATCTGTTACATTGAAGTAATTTGGACAATGGATGAAAGCGAAACGAAAATGAATCGGGACAAATCACCTTTTCGAGCACTTCCCATGCCATGAAACGCCTCATTTGAAAAAGTCGTTACATGAAAAAGTCGTTGCAAGATGATGTAGATTGTTTTATGATGTGCCGTGGCCCGCTATAATGCCTTTACTTAAATGCATGTTTAATAATCGTCTCCCGTGTTATATTTCTATTGATCTGCTTACCATCCTAAAAACAATCCACACGATTTTTTTAAACTTACTTCAGTGATATCACCGATTATGAAGCCATATAGACACCCGATAGATTGAATTCGAAAAAATGAAAGTTAGAGATCAATACTTACGATATTATCAATAGACCATTCGAAAGGCTAAAGCGGTTTCATGCTTTGTTCCAAATTAAATGCAAATTTAATCCTTCTCTAAAACATATAATAAATATTTGATATAAATATGATATATATGTTATAATGTATCGTAAAAATCATCTACATGATGTTATATGATTTTCTTTCTTCTATGACCAATCGCTACTGTATATATCTATCATGGCGCCGATCAGAAAAAAAATGGGAAAAGAGAAAGAGATGGGAAGTGTATGTTAAGCGTTTACCGTCTCAGCACTCACTATAGTCAAAATCAAGCACGCTCTGTAGGAATGAGATTTGAACCCGTGAACACTGACTTGATTTGATAAGCGCGGCTTTATAATGTCATAATGGATTTAAAATCGATTGAAAAAACTTTTCTATAATTTGTATTAATTGACGGCAATTACGATTTGATGAAGAGAATGAGGAAGAAGTGATCTTTGAGAAGAAATGGACAACAGAGATTATCCGCCGTTTCTGCTTTAAATATCGTTTTAGATCAATCCTCAAATATTTTGTTAATATATATATATATAATATATGTAGACATGAATAATAACAAAGAGGTAAAATGTCTACAAATACGTTGAAATAAATGCATGAAATTGTTCGTATTTTCTCTTTCGCTGTTTATGCATCTGTCTTTGTATATGTATATGTAACAAATATTGCATATCGAAATAACTTGATTATCAAGATTAAATGTTTATGTTACAGCATAAATTGTATAATAATTGTTAGCGATGCGATTAGAAAAGCGATCTTCATAATTTCAACTTAACGAATTGGAAATTGTGGTAACATGTTTTTTACATCATCAGTAGCCACTGTCGGTCAATACTACATTTCTCTTGTTGGCTAAATAATATATTTACATATATATGATGTATGTACAAAAGTGCGGGTTTTCAATATATATATGTGTGTGTGTGTGTGTGTGTGTATTAGACAGCGAACGAAATGAAAAGAAGTGATAAGATAAGGGAGAGCGGGAAGGGGGCCATGATGATAATGATGATGATGATGATGATGATGCAGGCTAAAGAGAGACGCAGTAATAAATTTTTTGTTTTTCCATTTGACATATGCGTGCAATTTTTTTGCGCCGTTTTCCCCCAATGCCTGGAAGATATGTAGAGTAGGAAATTTCTTTTATAATATTTCTAACTCGAAGACATAAAAACCACTCGTCAACAAGTCGGTCAGTCAGTCAATGTGCAAAATGAAGAAAAAAGAAAAAAGCAAAATAAAATGAATTTTCAAACATTGAAATATTATGAGACTTTTATTTGATTTGCAAAGCGATAGAAAGAAACAATAAATGTGTAAATTGCCGAGACTTGTTATTGTTTTTTTTTTTTTGTTTTTTTTTTTGTTTTTTTACTTTTTTGGTAAACACACTAATTGATATATTGGCCAACAGATAAATGCATTAAATGTAGAAAACATAGAAAAAGTTTACCACAAATTTGTGGCTTAAAGTCATTAGTTATGCCACACACTTTAGTGTGCATCAAAACTACCATTGTCTGCTTCTTCTATATATATATATATACACACACAAACACACACATGGGGGATATCCAACTATATGGTCGTATAAGACCAAAAGTAAAGCTTTTTTTTTTCCTCTTCACGTATTTTCAACATCATCACTAAGGAGTTTCAAAAAAATATGATTTTCATTTTTTGTTTTTATTTATTTATTTTTTTTTATTTTTTTTTTTTTTGCTTATTTTCATTTTGTATAAATTATAGAGACACTGGCCTATGAAATTTAGTTTATTTGTAACATTTCAATTTAACGGTAACACAGTACCAGCCTATAAATCCTATAAAAATACCTGGTGTACAAAAAAGAAAAAATTAAAAAAACGAAAAAGCGAAAAAGCGAGAGAGCGAAAAAGTAGAACGAAATCATGTCAACTTTTATTATATTATTAGCCATTTTAGTGGCCTGTTATTCTGTAACGGCCGGGTCCATTGGCGATTATAGTAATGAGTTAAGTTATCATCAAGATTCCTTGGGCGATTTCGGTGATCATTTAGATGAAAGTCATTTTCCAACCGATTTTCATGGCGGCAGCAGCGAACATGATCACCTATTCTCAGCGTCTGTTAGCGATGGTCATCAGTTTGGAGGCGAGGAGTATTCGCATAAGCCCGTACCTGGCATCGATCATGGCAAAGGTGTCATCAGTTATAGTAGTACGTACGAGTTTAAGGATCCCAAACACTAAAAGAGGATTTTTTCGAACAGTATGTTGTTGATATTTGCTGTCATGGGTAATAAGAAGATATCTGTGCGTCTACTCTTTCAAAAGAGAATGAAAAAAAAAGAACATTAAAATGTGATAAGTGCTAAGAAATTTTTATAAAAGACTTTTAAGTACGTGGCGATGGCAAGAAAAATAATTAAAATCATTGTTATTATGTAAATAAATTTATTATAATTTTTTTACCATAAAATATTTATGTTTACCTTTTCAATCGGTATTTTTTGTTTTTTCTACTTATCACAAAAGAATGCCGATTGTATTTGTTATGTTGAAACGTTCGCAAGGCTCAGAAGGACGCTTCAGAGATCCCACAATGTATATATATATATTCTTGATCAGCATTAAATCCTGAATCGATTTAAGCACGTCCAGCTTTCCGTCTGTGTAATGTCTGTTATAAATAATATCCTGACCGCAAAAATTAAGCTATCAAGTTGAAATTTGGCAGAGGCATTGGAAATACTTACACGCAGGTTGCAAACGCAAGTGCACGCCGGCAGTATCCTATAAACAGAGAACACCTCTGTTTTCTAAAAGCACTTAGAAAATGGTCTCTTACTCACTACTCACAAACAACAGCAGCGCTGCTGTAACACCTGAAAACAATTGACCATGCCTAGTTAATTTTATTGCGTGTCATAATTTCATTCTTATTTTCAAAGCCTTTATATAATGCCCGTATGCAAGCTTCAATGACGCTGTAAAGTATGTAAATACTGCGCCACTTTCAAATTCAGAATGCGCCTAATTATGTCCATACGTCCATCTGTGCAACTGTGCAGTATCTGCGGTAAACTTGCAAGAGAGATTGGAAAGGACACAAACTTTTAAAAGAACATGCTTATAACGGCGCCCTCACGCCTATGCAACAAAAATTGTGAACACCTTTGATTTTTGTGTTTTTTGCTTCTTACTCATAACCTACAACACATACACCGATTAAATTTCCACTTTTATTCGGGAAATAGAAAAAATCAACCACCGCCACCCAATAGAATAGAGCATGAAAATGTAGTTCTTTTCCCTTTTTTTTTTTAGTTTGTTCTAGGCTGACGGTGGAGGATACAGAAAAATTCGGTCGCGGCCGTTTATATTTTTCTTGCTTGTTTTTTTTCGCTTTTTTAGAGATGTTAATCCACAGAAATATGCGCCGATAAAATATTTTGACAGAGATATCCCCTTTCTGTTTGCTTCCTTTGATTGTATGTTCACACATAAGTTCTAGTTTCATCGAAATGTTTCATCGAATTGTCATAGCCTGTTGTCCAGGCTTCGTACATTATTGAAATTTTTCATCGAAATTTACGTTCGATTACGTTACTCGCCTCGATTAGCGTATCATTCAAAGTCTCAAGCGGAAAAATCGAAAGAGCGCAGAGAACGTTGCGACTTTCTATGAGAGGACCGATGATGACCTGAGTTAATTAACTACCAATCAAGCTGAAAAATGACCTATATTGCGAACAGTCGAGCAACCTGCGTGCAAGCACTTCCAATGTTTTCGCCAAAATTGAAATCGACAGACGAATATTCTTAAATCGATGCAGAATTTAGTGCTGATAAAGAATATGTACACATTATGCGGTCCCTGAAGTTTTCTTTTAGGCGTTGCAAACGTTTTCACAAAATTGAATGAGGTACAAAGGCTTATCATTCACTTTCCTTTCCCTAAGTTATGGCTTTAAAATGAAAGGGTCTCTAAATTTCGCTTTAAAGAACATGTTTCTGGCTCCCACGTCAAGTTATCAGGTAAATTTCTTCTTCTTCAGGTAAAATTCTTATTGCAAAGTATATCGGCGGTACAGAGAGATAATGCGGTAGTACCAGAAAATATTAAGCACTTAGCTGAGATGGATTTTCTAGAATTATATAAGAACGCGAAGGAGCATTCATTCTGAACTCATCAGAATCAATGATACAGAATCGGATCAATTTTTAATCGATTCACTTTGAAGACAAAATCAATATAGTGGTCCCGAAGCAAATATCTGTACGAATTGCGTACGATCTCTAAAAAGATATGATTAATCGGCTCAGACACGGCTATTCAAGGAGGAATCACCTGAGATGCAATTTGAACGATAGAGGAATAAATTTCATAGAAAGGATAGGGCGGGAGAGAGCGTGTTCCTTCAAAGGATGCAGAACGCGGTTTCTACGCTTATATCATGCTTTTGTAGCCCATGTAGATGGTTAATGAATGTGAGTAAGACTGAAGCGAAAAAGTTGCCCAATTCCCCAGCGAAACGTAACAAAGCGCAGTTACATTGAAGCTTTTAAACTGTGGCCTTTCTTAGTTACTAGTAAGTGTCAAAGTGATAATCATCACTAAGATTAGGTAAAACAAACTCGAGAAATCATATTTGTTGTAACAAAAATAAAACTCTTCACAATTAGTTATTAAAAGCAAACAATTACTTAAGTCAAACTCATAACCATTTTGAAAATGTTTTTTTTTTTTTCTTGAATCAGGTTTTCTGATGAGTAATCAAATAAGTAGTTATAGAGAGACCGTAAACGTTTGTTACACGGACATAAAACGTATGTGAAACTGCCGCACTGGACTCATCAAGAAACGAACACACTCTGCACCCGCTGCAAACGATATATTATTGATATGAGGTCAAAAATTTCGTCCAATAATTGCATACGATAGTAATAGCAATGTTCCCGCTTAGGTTGATATAATTATTAACGATAAGATAAATAATTTTCTCCCCCACATTACAATTCATTTTACAAGGTAGTTTTCATAAAAGCTTGCCTACCTATGAAGTTCATTTTCGAACACTCTACTCTTATCAGCATAATGAAGAGCATTATGACCTTCCTGTTGCTTACTTGACCAAAGGTAAAAGTTTTGCTTCTTAAAGGAGAAGGTGCAAAACGAAATCTAAAGTTGCGATGACAGTCGTCGATATGGATATTTGGATTTTCACCAAAATGGTCTGAAAACTGATCTTCGAAATAATTCAGTTTCTGAGAACAGGATTGTCACTTACATCAGCCATATTGTTTTTATCTGGACACTGTTTACCAGTTTCCCGATCAAGGCGAATTTTACCAGACCAAAACTGTTAGCAACGAAGATGATCTTTTCCCTAACTAGGTTCCAATTTTATATATAATAAATTTGCGTAATTCATACAAGCACTCCTGAGGCGTGTAATTAAATGGTATCTTTAATCAAGTTGAGAAATCATGCTACAAGCCCAAAAGAACTTGCGCCTGACCGACATTTTCTTAAAATATTTTTCGAAAAAAACAAGTCGGTGAAGGCCGACTATTAAATACCCTACACCATATTGCCTGACACAATTCGTATATTTGTATGCAATTGATATTATGGGTCAATTTTCATCGCCACATATCAACACTTGGACTTCTCTGCCCAAAAATTCGGTACCGTTAATTTTTTTTATCTTGAATTTCAATTATAGTTCGATTTTCATCGTGAAGCATTGAACACAAAAACAAATGGACAGACGGAAATGATTCTAAATCGATTGGGAGAAAAGAAGAATTCTTAAGACCTTCTAGGCTGGGGTAACATACGTCCGGACAAATTTAATATACCCTTTACCACAAGTGAGATAAGTTATAACAAGAAAATAGACGAAAGGCGAGTTCAATAGCATTTGTCGATGCAGGCTGAAAGCAACCTGTCTTCTCTTATTTCTGATGATGGTTCATTTACCATAAGAATCTTTCGTATAACGTTTACGGAAAGCATTATTAAAATCAATATTATCATTAACTTTACGACGTTCAATGCTTTTCGGTATGTCAGAGTCGCCTAGAGCGTTTGTATGTAATTTTGCGCTCGCTAAAATGTTACCGGCCGGTAAATCATTAGAGAAAACACTACCAGCATGATGAGGATGATGATCGTTACCCAAAGATACGGGCGATTGCGATAGCATATGCACATCAGTCTTATCGCGATCATAGCCATAATTGTGGTCATCGATGTAAGGATGCGACCAAACGATATGGCTATCTGATTGAACAATAGCACTAGGCTGCCAATCTTTATTAATCGATATGTCGTGGTGGGAAAGAAGATCCTCTGGTTTCTGCAATATCACCGTAGAATCTTTATTCGTTTTCTCGTACTGCAGTATTCCGGAACTTACTTGAATCGTTGACTCATAATCTAAAAAAATTTAATTACATTCATTCATTGAGAAAATGATCAAATACCTGAAATTTTCATTCGCTTACTATTTTTCGGATATTTATTAAAGCCACGTTTTATTCGAAGGTTTTCCTTCAATAGCAGTTGTCTTCTGGCCGTCGCGACTTGCAAATGTTCAATTTCTAAGCAAATTAATATAATGAGAAATTTTTTCAACTCCATTGTGTTTTGCTTCGTTCGTCGCAAAGCTTTAAGAGTGTTTTCATTGCAATCGATAGTTCCTTATATACCTTTATGCTTAAGACATGCGAGACATGAAAAAAATTCTTTAAGCGACTAACTAGTCTGTTGTTCATAAACGGATGTTATTACTGTTAAGCTTGGTCACCTTTTGGGGACATTGTCGTTAAACTATCATTTTAAAATTACTCTCTACTACTCTACTGGAAGATCGCTTCATTTTGCTATATGCTTGGAGACAGTACCTTTGGTTTATCTTCACCGAAAGCAATATCCTCTCATACAAAGAAGAGTTGAGCTGAAAAGCAGCAGCAGAGTAACACCCCGCAACGTAAAAGCCTCACACTATGCGCTTCTTATGCGAACGCAGATATTCAATTTAATTAATGCGGGCAGATCAAGCAAGCCCCTTAGGGGAGCCAAAGAAAAAAAGCTATAACTTGTAGGTAGGGATTTGATATCCAAACTGGATGTAAAATTTTCTCAAAGCCATATAAAAAAAAAAACTCTGCAATAAAACTAACACAAGCATAACTAATAAAATACTGAAACGATCGTAATTTCGATCTAATTACAGTCGAGCTTATCTAAGGACTTGCTACTCGAATTGCACTAAAAATTACTGACAGAATCATGTTTTAGTTCTAATGATGGCAACTTTCTGGCTCTGCATTTTACGATTTTAAAATAAAAGAGAATTATTTGCATACCATTACGTTAAGCCAATTGAATTTGTTTTTTTTTTTATTTAATTTTAATAAAAAGTAAGTTTTATGAAAAATAATCTCGCTGGAATATTCGCTTATGCAGATAAGGGATAAGATATGACTAGCAACCCGATTTCCCCCAGACACCGTCGCTTTTGGAAGCACCTGAGCCAACAACATTCCAATGACCATTCCAATCGAAATTATTTTGCGACGGCAATGGGGTAGCATATGTATTGAACGGGATACGAGTCGAATCCAGAGGCAGTGGATAATGTTGACCAGAAGGTTCTACGGTCTTTTGTACATCGATTTGTTGCGGTTGACTTACATATTGTGGTTTGAATTGTACTGGTTCCGAAATATGTACTGATTTCGAGGGTAACGGAGTTTCTGCTATTTGTGTGTACAGGGTTACTGGTTGAGCGCCGCCAATAGAAGCCAGACCGGACGTTTGTCCACCAAAGTAACCGGATTTCTCGTAAGGTACTAGAACATTAACAGTAGATTTCTTTTCTCCAGCGACACCAATTCCCGCCTGAAAACCGGTGTGATAATTTAAGCCGTTCCAACTATTATCGGGAGCTTTTTCTGGAAATAAGATTAAATGAAAAATAATACTATATGCTGCTATAACCAGCACCACTACCGTAACCTCCGTGAACGCCATTATAACCGCCACGGTAGCCTCGGGCTTGGCCCGTGAAAGCAGAACTATCTTCATACCCACTATGACCTCCGTAGCCAGTATGGCCTCCGAAGCCGGCGCGACCATCAAACTCAGCCTTACCCCCATATCGAGCATGAGCTGCGTAGCCAGTCTGGAGTCCATAGCCGACATGACCTCCATAACCAGCGCGTCCTCCAGACGCAACATTACCCCCATAGCCAGCTTGACTTGCATAATTGCCATGGGCGCCAAAGCCAGACTGGCCTCCATACCCAGCATGCCCGCCATAGCCAGCATGTCCTCCGTATTCGGCCTGCCCTCCATACCCAGCATGACCATGATAGTCGGCATGACTTCCCCAACCAGCATGCCCTCCGTGCGCCCCATGGCTTCCAATACCGAAACTGCCCCCAATAGAACTTCTTACGGCACCTTTTAGCAAAGCCAATTTATTACCCAAAAAGGCTTTACTAGAGCGCGTCAAAGACGATTGACCGATTAAAGCAATAAATAAAATAATATTTGCTCTCATTTCGTAAAAATTTTCGCGTTAATCCTTTTCATACGCGTACCCACCGCACCGTATCGTCAAACGTACAGAACTGATTTCATTACACTGTGATACGCACAATTTTATAGAATATAACTGATAGGGAAAAACCACACAACTTGCATCTTCAAAGTTTGGATACGCCAACAGAATCCAAAGTGCCTGTGACATTGAAAAAACTAAACAACGTTAACTATGCAAATGATGATAACATCATCTCAACATATTTTCTTAGACAAAATTTACATGTTTTTTTTTTTTTTTTTTTTTTTTTCTGTTATATTATTATAAAAAAAAATATTTACCTAATTAATATACACTCTGGCCATGCGGTAAACAAAAACATACATCAAATTCCTACACATAAACATGGTCGATAAAAATTTCATAATACTAAGCGTGTGTACCAAACCCAGCCTAGTTTACAACGCTATAATCGATTACATCTACAAACGTTATTACATAGGCATTCTCTACACGTTCGGTACACGCATCTTATAGAATGTAATATTGTGGAGTGTAATATAGCCAGCGGGCCAGCGGGCCAGCGGGCCATACAAGTCTACTTAAACGTAAAGTGCATGTCATCGAAAGAATTGAATTGAATTTGTAAAGAGGAAGAAAAAAACATTCATTTTTTTTCTCTTCATTGTTGTTGTTAACAATATACGTTAACTGAAGAAAAATTACTTGCTAATTGAAAAAAATTAACCAATTAAATGTTAATATAAGTTCTTCCGTTCATAATTGTCCGGCTTATAGATATTAAAACGGATGGGAAGGAAATCGGATCTTAAATAAAACAAAAATTTATTAACCAAAAATAAAAATATATATATAAATAAATAAAATGTAAGCTCAAATTATTGTAAATGAAATAAACCGAAGCAATTCCTCTTTCCTCATTAAAAAGAATGGTAGTAGAAACTTAATTTTTTTAAGTGTGGAAAACTTTCCATTACCGAGCAATGAAGAGATTATATATATTGCTGATCAGCATCAAATTCTGAAGCGATTTCTGAAAGATATCCGTCTGTCCGTCTGTGCGTCTGCATAATGTCTGTTTTAAACTGAAGCTATCCACATCAAATTTGGCAGGAACATTTGCAAGCACTTGCATGAAGACCAAATCGATCGGATCACACATCTAGAGTACTACGTACATAACAAGGGTTAGGGCATGTCTGTTTTTCAAAACAAATAAAAACTTGATCTTTTTCCATTACTGATAAACTACAGCAGATAAAGCTGAACAAATTTAAACATATATATTCTCGTGACGGCGCTACAGTACAAAGATGGGAACAATTAACCGGGTCTACCCAATATTATTGTGTTAAAACTTAGTTTTTTTTGCTTCTATATCTCTGCAACCTTCGAATGTGTTATGTTAAGCTCACTAATTTAACAAATCCAGGCAACGGATCTATTGTTACGCGTACAAGATACTTTGCCAAAAACTTTGGATATAAGAACTCCAGCCATTTGGTAGGCTGCTGCGTCATCTTATTAAACCATCAATGTGCAAACCAAGCCAATTTATCCAAGTTGGCATCCGATATAGCCGAATGGCAACTGAACACTGCTGCCAACAGGTACCGTGTACGACTAAAATGTCAATCTTTTTGCACATAATTGCCGATTATGCACATTCTCGAATTGCTAACTTACTTATTCGAATGGTAAGCGATCCAAAAGTGGACAATAATTTCAAGTGCAACGATTTCAACTCTAATGAATCAAATCGTTTCAATTGACATTGAATATGATAGTTGCCTGGCTTCTAAGGAAATTTACTTCTTGAACTGGCCCCACTCGTGCTTACTCGTGCTTATTTAAGAAAGACTAAGTAATCGATTTTTTGATTTTATTTTAATAAAAGTTCAACGTGACATTAGTCTTTAAAACCAGTATAGATAACACTTATAAAAGTAAATAAAAAATTTTGTTCACTTATTTCACATAGTTATGATAGATAATTTGCTGTTAAAAAACTATTCGAGAAAAGCAAAACATTTTTCCGGATTTGATTAATTTTTTCGTTGATCATCTAATACTTCTTGAAAGCATTCGTAAGGCATTGAACATTTTCGATAAGTGTTTCAACACCAATTATTATTACTATTGAGACCGTAGCCTAACCCATAACTCCCGCTGCCGTAACCATAGCTAGTGCCAGATCCATAACCAAAGCCAGTGCCAGATCCATAACCATAGCCAGTGCCGGATCCATACGTATAACTGGGTCGATAGCCGGAGCCATATGTGACGGCATTGTAACCGGAACCATAGCTAATTGGCGGAGTAACTACACCAGTTGAAGGATAATAGCCAGCATATCCTGTCGAGACGCTTGGTTCGACAATAACTTTAACTACCTTAACGTTGCCATCGTAACCGGCGCCCGTTCCATAGTTATAACCACCATTGTAACCACTACCGTAACTTCCGTAGCCCCCGTAACCGCCATAATTACCGTTATTGCCAAGCGCTAGGCCAAATTTACCAAATGTTCCTTGAACAGGATTCACTAGTAGTACATCTATGACCAGCATAGCGGCTGTTACGTAAATATTTGAATAGAATTTCATGATGTTATTAATTTTCATTATTCGTTTATTTTGCAATATATCGAAATGATGTTTTCGACAAAACTAATGCCAATTATAGGTCATCCGCTGGATTATATAGTATTCGGTTACGTGTTTTTAGCAACAATGTTAGCTTTGTTTAAAATTTTTTTCTTATGGGTTTGTCTCTTAAACTCTGTTCACGTACTTATCGCATTTGTTTATTGAGTTGCGGTTTTCAGTTTAGTTCTCTAGTTCAATATTTAAATGGGTTCAATAATCAGTCAGAATTGACATAATGATCTCAGAAATTTTTTTCCTTAACCTTATTGAATATGTATACAAATAAACAATCAGTTTAGTATGAATAAGGTGCTAATTTTGTATATATGTGTTATTTATTTTTTTTTTTTTTTCAAATATATAAAAATTATAACGTATGCAGAGCGAACGAATGGATGGTTAAGAAATCTTCTTCGTATACACAGAAAGCCAAACGCGTTATCAATTTATGTACAATATTTTTTAGATAAATGACGTATGTACTATGTATGAGAATTTCCTTTCGTTTATCATTTTATTTGAATTTTGCGACTCGCCTTTTATTTTCATAATATCTGTAATAATGTTATTTTTGGTTATTTATTGTTTCATAAACACAACTCACACACAAATTCCATTTAATAATGAAGCTTACATACTATCAGTCTTCAATTTATTTCCCCAAGACAAATTTTTACAAAATTTCCAAAGTTTTATTATTACAATGCGAAATTCGCGCAATAGTTAATAGCAAAGCAAAAATAGAATTATTTTATAATTTTGTAAGGAAAATGAACTTCATTTTCATTATTGTCACTTTATTTATACAAAGTTTCCGCATTTACGTTAAGCATAATAACCTTCGATTATGTTCAGGAATTAGATTGGTTTAGAAATTCCATAAAAACCAATTTTTTCTTTTTTTTTTAATTTTTCCTAACAGCAAAACATGTCATAGCTATTTTCCAAAACGCTCAAGTTAATCGGAGTAAAATTATGTAAGAGAAATTCGGATCATCAGAGACTTGAATATTTGTGAGCTGCAAACTTTAACCGTTTATTTCTGACAATTTTATTTTTGAATGTTTAATTTCTTGATCTTAGACAAAGCATAATAATGAGGATTTTAAAATATATATAATATTTGAGTAAA